TCATACCTGCTGGGAGGATTAGATGTTGCATTGCAGGTGAATGTGACGTAGTCTCCTGCCTCTGCCAAATTTGGTCCCATGACATTTGCTATCTCTGGTCCATCTAAACACATAAAGAACACCACAAATTACTTTCACTGAAAAATGCTTATGTGACTACAGGCATTCAGATAATACAGAACTGACATCACAGTGATAAATGTTATGTTAATAATGATACAAATACTTACAGTAAACTGTGACTGTGAAGCGGTGGCTGGTTTGGTTGCTTACAGAATTAAAAGCCTCACACTGATAATCTCCTCCATCTGAATGCTGGGTTGAACTAATAGTCAGTGTCCTGTTGCCCGTGTCAAACGTTGTTTTATTGTCAGCAGAAATAAGTTGATCATTTCTCCACCAGTGAATGATGTCAACAGGTCCCGTCACTTCACAGCTCAAAGAGAATGTCTCACCAAATATTGCTGGTTTGGCAAGACTCACCACGACTGCTGTCACAGGATCTGTTGGAGTTTAGTAAGTAATTTAAATTCACTCAAATATTTGACCTGAAAAAATATGGCATGTTCAACTAGATAATTCCTCTGCACTGTACAAAGGAAAAGGCACAAATCACAACTCTTTCTTTTTGGTCTTAATGGTCTAGCAGCTCAGCAGATCTAAGCAGCAAAGTAAAAAATAAAACAAAATAAATTTTTAAACAGATACCAAACCAAACTTACCCACAATCTGGATTGTTGCTGTTTGGCTGCTGAATCTGAACGTGACATTATTGTGAATTAGGCATGTGTAATTTCCTGACATGCTCTCGTTAACTTTCTCTAGTTCAAGCTTTGGTTCAATTTTGTTTAGGTAGACTCCATTAACCATCCACTGGAACATTGCTGGAGGACTGGAGACCGCTGAGCATGACAGTGTGATATTAGATCCGCCTTTGTATATATTCATAAGGGGCATGACTGTCATCTCTGTGTTACTTGGGCCGTCTGGTGACAGAACAGGGCATAAATTGTTTTAGAGGTTATTGTTGGGACAGCAGATTGGTTTATAGATTGTATGCATGTATTGGTGTCTTTTGGTTAGAACTCACAGCTGACAGTCAGATTCACAGGGGCGCTGATGTCATTGCTGACATTATTAGACACATTACACTTGTATAGTCCTTGATCATAGCGGGTCACGTTCATGATAGTGAGAATGGTGTTTCCACTGCTGAGTTGAACTTTTTCTTTGGTCGTGATCATTGAGCTCCCATTGAACCACTGATAAGACAGGGATGTACCTTTGGACACTCTGCACATAAGTACTGCTGTGTCATTGAACTCCACCAGGTTGGTTGTGCTTGTCTGAACGGTCACATTTGAAACAGACTCTGCGGAGAATAAAATAACAAGGCATTTGTCATGTTTTATTTAAGCAATGTGTCCTCCACCAAATATATATGACAATGTGACCCATATGTTGAATTAAAGTCAGGTTCAAGATAAAAACAAATAAAAATAAAACAGTCTTATAAAAAAAAAA